CCGTCCGTCGGGGGTGAGTGTGCTCTTGGCACGGACGTCCTTGAGGACAGGCAGGAGGAGTTTGAGTGCTTTGCCGCCGCTGTACCTCATCTCGTGTCCATGCTGATTGCACCTGAGGGAGACCCGGATGCTCCAGACATCCCGACCCCGCGCTCTTACGCTGAGGCGATCGCGGGTGAATACTCCTCTCAGTGGCAGACAGCCATGGATGCAGAGATGCCATCCTGGAAGTCCACTGGCACTTACGTCGACGACGTTCCCCCTCCTGGGGCGAACATCGTCAGTGGCATGTGGATTTTCAGGGTGAAGCGGCCGCCAGGTTCTCCGCCTGTCTTCAAGGCTCGGTACGTTGCTCGAGGCTTCAGTCAGCGAGAGGGAGTAGACTTCTTCCAGACCTTTTCCCCCACCCCGAAGATGACCACTCTTCGGGTGCTGCTGCATGTTGCTGCTCAGCGTGACTACGAGCTTCACTCTCTTGACTTCAGCACAGCTTTCTTGCAGGGCAGCCTGCACGAGGAGATCTGGCTGCGCCGCCCTCCTGGCTTCACTGGGTCGTTTCTTCCTGGTACCCAGTGGAGCCTCCGGCGGCCGGTCTACGGTCTCCGCCAGGCGCCACGTGAGTGGCACGACACACTGAGGACTACACTTGCGGCTCTTGGGTTCTCGCCTTCTACTGCTGACCCGTCGCTGTTTCTACGCACCGACACTTCACTGCCGCCGTTCTACATCCTCGTGTACGTCGACGACTTGGTCTTTGCCACTGCTGACACTGAGGCTCTCGCCCACGTGAAGTCGGAGCTGGAGAAGAGACACACGTGCACAGACCTGGGTGAGCTGACAAGCTATCTTGGCTTGCGGATCACCCGGCACAGAGCACGCCGCACCATCACACTGACTCAGTCACACATGGTGCAGCAGGTCCTTCAGCGCTTCGGCTTCACCTGGTCCTCGGCACAGGCCACTCCTCTGGCTACAGGTCACTCGCTCTCAGCTCCACCTTCGGACGAGTCCGTAGAGCCGAGTGGTCCTTACCCAGAGCTAGTTGTTTGCCTCATGTACCTGATGACTTGCACTCGTCCTGACCTCGCGTACCCTCTTGGTCTACTGGCTCGCTACGTGGCTCCTGGTCGGCACCGACCTGAGCACATGGCTGCCGCTAAGAGGGTACTGCGCTACTTGTGCAGCACATCAGGCATGGGGCTAGTGCTTGGAGGGAAGAGCCCAGTTGTCCTCACTGGGCACTCAGACGCTTCTTGGGTTGACGACCAGGCTACTCAGCGGTCGTCACAGGGTTACACCTTCAGCCTTGGCTCTGGTTCAGTTTCTTGGCGTTCTACTCGCTCGTCTTCAGTTCTCAGCTCCAGTTGTGAGGCTGAGATCTACACCACAACCATGGCTGCACAGGAGCTACGCTGGCTGACCTACTTGCTGACCGACTTGGGAGAGCGGCCTAGTTCTCCTCCAGTGCTGTACGTCGACAACAAGGCTGCCATTGCCTTGTGTGAGGAGCAGAGACTGGAGCACAGAACGAAGCATATCGCTCTCCGTTACTTCCTGGCTCGAGAGCTGCAGCAGCGTGGTCAGCTTCGTCTGCGTTACGTGGCCACTCAGGCCAACACCGCTAATATATTCACCAAGGCACTTCAGCCTGGTGATCATCAGCGCTTCTGCAATATGCTGGGGCTTGTGCCCACTTTTCTTCACTTGTTGTAGGCTTTGTCTGTACTGTGATCTCTATACATATATACCTGCCTGTTTGCTTTGCTAGGTTGAGATCACCTTGCTGTTTGTGTTGCATATATGCCTCTGCATGTGAACTGGCCCTGTGGCCCTTTGCTGATGCTCAGAGTGTGTGGTGACGTTGTGATCCACCCTGGGCTTGCTTTGACTTTCTTGACTGGGCTTGTGACCCCTTGCTCTCCCCACTTTGCCTATGGGGGTGTGTCAAACATTATATATATGTTATTGCTGTGTAGGCTATAGTGGGTTAGCCTTTAGGGGGTACACAACTCTAGGGTTTCATACTTGTACTCCAATCTTTGATAGTTCAATCACTTCTCATTCTTAACAGTCGACCCGGCCGGGCCAGTAGTGCGAGGTTTGGTGAAACAGTGCGCGCGAAGTCGGCGAAGCCCCGTTAGCAACGGGCGAACAACGACTGCTGCTGTACGCCATGTTCCAGGGCGCGCTAAGGAATATCGAGAAAATTCCTTACACTTATTGAAAAACGACCTCCTCAGTGTTAACCCTGGATTTTTCCGATGAATTATATTGAAGTCCCCCGGTATAGCCCGGGTTCACATGAGTCAGGCCCTACCCTCAACCAAATGATGACGCTATAGATGTTCTGGCTTAGAGGCCCTTCCTAAAAGAGTCCCATTTCCCCAACGAGTAGAATTTTCACATAAGTCCTAGGTGTATCCCATCCTCTACAGTCCCATTTTTGGCGGGAAATCTTGCATCTTGACTGAATCATTGCACGAATCAGTTCCGCAGCCAATCTGAGGACGCAAATCGAACCAGTCAGAACATTCACGGAAAATAAAAAAATAGGAAGTTATGATTCACTATTTACTTTTGCAGTTATGATTGTCTGTTTCTCTTGATCACGCTTTTGTCTAAATCCTGTCGCGGTATTTCCCACAAGCTCCGACGATACCATCTCATTAATCTCGCTTACAGTGTAAAACAGAAAATGTTGTCTTTCATTTTGGCCTTAAACATAATTTATTTTGTATTTGTCTGTCCGTTTGTCCTGCGACACTGATCAACGCGGCGAATCGTGCGACAAGAAGTTGAAGACAGCGTAGTCCGAATGTACGCATGTGACAGAAAAACACAACTAGTAGCATTTGTTTTTTACTTTTCATGCAATTATCCTTACATGGGACTATAAGTTCTTTTTTTCCCGGGGTTTGTGATTTTTCGTCAAAGGCCCGCAGCGCGCTTGTTTTTTACGGGGACTCTAATCAAGAACAGCTGTACTTTCACGAAATGCACCCGAACGTAAGAGAACTCGACGAGTTATAACATTCTCGCCAAAACGATTGCGAGACCCGTCAGTCAGTTACCGCCCCACACGATCCGTCGAAGCTGTGGCTGAATCAATCTTACACGCCCTAATTCGGGTCAGCAACAGAAGCCCGATTTGGGCGACTGGAAATCCTTTCTCAATTTGAACTAGGAACGCATTTCTACTAATTCAGATTGGCTCGTCCCCGCGACTCACTCGAGCGAAGAACTTATCGCGTTCCTCACATTTCAAATACCGGTTCAAGATTAACTTGACTTCGCACCGCACTCGTTCGTTCTTCTGCTACCATGGTGTGGCCGTTGAGCCAAGCAACTACTATGCTAGTACGAGAGTATCGCGTTCCCCACATAAAAATAACTATCGGTTCAAGATTAACTTGACTTCGCACGAATTATCGCGTTCCTCTGCTACCATCATGGCGTTCCTCTGCTACCATCATGGCGTTCCTCTGCTACCATCATGGCGTTCCTCTGCTACCATCATGGCGTTCCTCTGCTACCATCATGGCGTTCCTCTGCTACCATCATGGCGTGGCGCTGGCTGTTACGGTTGGCCCACTTCACCGTAGCTCACAGCATAAATCACAGCCGAGAAAAATCCGAATCAAAGCCTGCCATCCTTTCATTCCTGATTCTTCCTTTCTCCAGTTCTGTCCTTTGCACTGGACTATCGCATCGAACTATCCTGCGCTGGACTGTTATTCGTCGTTCTACACACCCGTACTACCCTCCGCAGTCTACACCACTGCAGCACACTCTACACCGGCGTGAACCGCACATCACAGCACAAACTCTCGTCTTCTGCGTTCCGTCCGCCGTTTCTTCCGCGGGACCCCCACCGTTAACATCATGGGGTCGACGGGTGCGTCTCCAGCCGGACTCCTGCTGCTCGCCCTTGCCCTCATCTGCGGTCAGTCTCCTCTCGCGCTCCTGCCGAGTCCCACTGCCACCCACCGCATCACAAATGGCAACAGCAACATTGTTCACACCTCCACAGCACCACCACCATTTCTGCCTTCCTACTATGTTCAGATCTATTTAGACACATCATTGTCATCACATGTTCAGCAAAGTAGATACAACCATCGTGTTGCTAAGCATGTTCAAGCATCCTACGAACCGCTCCAGGCTTTGCGTCGGTCGACGGCAGCAGCAGTGGGGTTCCCACAACGGTGGCGATGGGATCAAGGGCGCTGCTGAAATTCACCAACCAGCGCTGCGTGACCGTTCCCCCGGGGGCGACGAGGCAGAAGAGCGTGCAGGTGTGGTGGAAGGGCCGCGGGGGCTCGAGCAAGAAAGTGGATCCGGGCAACAAGGCTGACGCGATCTCGTGCTCGCAGATCAAGTTCTTTGCGAGAACCCGCTGTCAGGGCCAGGAGGTGGATAGCATGGTTGAACCAATCACTCCTGCGGCCGAGTGAGTGTCGGGTGGTGTGTGATGATGGTGTGAGTTTCGGTGGTGTGAGTTTCGGTGGCGTGTGACTGTGTGTGAGGCACGACTAGAGGACGCGGCCCATGACTTGGAGAGAGGACGGGATGGGAGCCGAGGGGGAGGGGAGGGGGAGGGGATAATATCAACGTTGTGTGAGCGTTGTGTGAGCGTTGTGTGAGCGTTGTGTGAGCGTTGTGTGAGCGTTGTGTGAGCGTTGTGTGAGCGTTGTGTGAGCGTTGTGTGAGCGTTGTGCTTCCACTTGCCACGCCCTTCATGTGCTTCCACTTGCCACACCCTTCATGTGCTTCCACTTGCCACGCCCTTCATGTGCTTCCACTTGCCACGCCCTTCATGTGCTTCCACTTGCCACGCCCTTCATGTGCTTCCACTTGCCACGCCCTTCATGTGCTTCCACTTGCCACGCCCTTCATGTGCTTCCACTTGCCACGCCCTTCATGTGCTTCCACTTGCCACGCCCTTCATGTGCTTCCACTTGCCACGCCCTTCATGTGCTTCCACTTGCCACGCCCTTCAGGTTCTCAGTCTCGAGGAAGACGATTCTCACGGGTGGTTCCGTGTTGTCTGTCCTCTGCACTATCACACTGGACCCCAGTGGTAAGCTTTGCTCGCCCTCCTAGGAACGGACGCCCCTACAATTATGGGATTTCAAAAAAATGTGAATCCAAAAGGTTGTCATTGCTAGAAGTAGATCAGCCGTGCCTTCCTCTCTAAGGCAAATGAGCTCGTTGGCAATTCTTGAGACGTCTCGAAAGGCGGTGCCTTCCTAGAGGGCAAGTATTCTCTTTGATAATTGCCCTGAAGGTGTCTTTTTGTCCATTGCAATGCCTCTTGCCTCTATGATGCACATGCTGGCTCTACGTCATTCCAATGCCCTTTTGGTGTGCATAAGCATTCACAAATCTTTGTTTTTTTCCCATAACGCTCTTTTCGCCTTCTCTGCAAACCCTGCCTGCGCGGCGTTGGGTTGTAGCCGGGATGGCACCTGTGTGGTGGAACAGAACGGAAAGCTTTCCTGCCTCTGTGAGTCCTCTACCTCTCCTATGCCCAACTCAACTTAACTCAACTCAATTCAACTCCCACAATACTAGCTACTAGTTGGCACCATGGCAACCAGTAGGTGAGCGTGCCTGGTAGTGGGGTGAGTGAGCATGGCGTGCCTGGTAGTGGGGTGAGTGAGCATGGCGTGCCTGCTAGTGGGGTGAGTGAGCATGGCGTGCCTGCTAGTGGGGTGAGTGAGCATGGCGTGCCTGGTAGTGGGGTGAGTGAGCATGGCGTGCCTGGTAGTGGGGTGAGTGAGCATGGCGTGCCTGGTAGTGGGGTGAGTGAGCATGGCGTGCCTGCTAGTGGGGTGAGTGAGCATGGCGTGCCTGCTAGTGGGGTGAGTGAGCATGGCGTGCCTGGTAGTGGGGTGAGTGAGCATGGCATGCCTGGTAGTGGGGTGAGTGAGCATGGCGTGCCTGCTAGTGGGGTGAGTGAGCATGGCGTGCCTGGTAGTGGGGTGAGTGAGCATGGCGTGCCTGGTAGTGGGGTGAGTGAGCATGGCGTGCCTGCTAGTGGGGTGAGTGAGCATGGCGTGCCTGCTAGTGGGGTGAGTGAGCATGGCGTGCCTGGTAGTGGGGTGAGTGAGCATGGCGTGCCTGGTAGTGGGGTGAGTGAGCATGGCGTGCCTGCTAGTGGGGTGAGTGAGCATGGCGTGCCTGGTAGTGGGGTGAGTGAGCATGGCGTGCCTGGTAGTGGGGTGAGTGAGCATGGCGTGCCTGGTAGTGGGGTGAGTGAGCATGGCGTGCCTGGTAGTGGGGTGAGTGAGCATGGCGTGCCTGGTAGTGGGGTGAGTGAGCATGGCGTGCCTGGTAGTGGGGTGAGTGAGCATGGCGTGCCTGGTAGTGGGGTGAGTGAGCATGGCGTGCCTGGTAGTGGGGTGAGTGAGCATGGCGTGCCTGGTAGTGTTGGAGGGAAACGGTGGTGGGGCGGTGGTATGCCCCCAACCCACCGAGGGCACTTCGGTGCCTTCGATCCCTTTGACTAGGGATCGGTGGGGTGGCACCGATTGACTTCGGGAGACTCACCTTTCGGTGCCACGTGGCGGCACCATATTCCAACCTTGGAGTTGAAGTCACATTCGGTGTGTTCGGTGAAATTCGGTGGCCGAATTTCACCCAACCGAACTTGTTACACGCAGCGCACTAGCGACGCGAAATGTAGCGACTCGATGTTACACATGCGGTTCGATGTAATTGAGTTGCTATAAATTGTGATTGCTTTGTATGCATGAGTCATACTAAAAACCTGAATCAATTTGTATGTGATACACTCGACTACAAAATCCAGAGAGCTCCTATCATTTGTTCTAAGAGCACTAGCAAGCACATAAACGCCTATAACTCTCTCGCTACTTAGGCGAATCGCGTGTTTGACGGCTCATTGGAAAGCCAGCAGTGTGCTCTATTGTTTAGTGCAACTCCCAGTTCCTGAAAAGTAGAGGAGAGTCCTCTACAACAGTGGTATCAGAGCTGGTCGGTAGAGTCTACGTGCGCGACTTGTAGCAAGCATGATGACGTCAAGCGAAACCTCCGGCACTTCCTTAGGTGGTGTCGTCTCGAATCTCGGCGAACCCTGGACAAACGCGACGGTGTTCGACACGTCGGCGGTTCCGATTTTCACGGGACAAAACTACTCCGCGTGAAAGTTTAAGTTCCAAGTGCTCATGATGGAGCGGGGACTTTGGGGTCTCTTCGACGGAACGGAGAAAAAGCCGGTCAACGAGGACGAAATCGCGACATGGAAGAAGAAGGACCAAAAGCCGTTCGCAACGTTGATTTCGCGCATCGGCATCGACCTCGTGAGTTCGGTGCGCACGTGCATCAAGCTCGAAGCTTCGGCGCGTGAAGCATGGAAGCGGCTCGAGACGATGCACGTGAACAAGACTTTCCACGACAAGATCCTAGCCCGAAATGCGTTCTACATGGTGAAGTTGCGCGCGGGCGAATCGATGCACGAGTATGCGACTCGTGTGGAGGAACTCGGGGAAACGTTCATGGACCTCGGCGGAACGGTCACGGAGGAGGATTGGATTCTCACCTTGCTTTGCGGCCTTCCGGAAGAGTGGTCGACGGTGATTACGACACTCGATAGCGTGCAAAACACTTGGACGAAGGAAATGGTGGTCGGTCGGCTTCTCCATGAAGAATCGCGACGCCGAAAATTCGCTAACGAGAGCGTGGAGACCGCCATGTTCTCCGGAGGGAGCTCCGGAAAGAAGTCCAAGTGGAGCAAGGGTGAGGCGAAGAAGTCGTCCGGCGAACGCGGCAAGGGCAACGCATCGAACGGTTCGAGCAAGTGCCACTATTGTCGCAAAGCGGGACACTTTTGGCGAGAATGTCGGAAGCGGCCGAGCGATTGGACTCCATCGAAGGCGCGGAACCAAGAGGGCAACGCGCACACGGCATCCGGTGAGGCGGATGATTCAACGGAGTCGCTCGTTTTGTTGGCCGGTGACGGGATTAACACTTCAAACGACGCGTGGTTCCTCGACACCGGTGCAACACAACACATGACGCACTCGGCGTCGCTCCTCAACAACGTCGGTGCTCCGGGAGACGTTAAGCGCGTCGTCTTCGAGAACGACAAATCGCTACCGGTGGTTGGAGTTGGGAGTACGCGTCTCATCGTCGATGGCGGGCCGGTGGACATCACGAACGTGCTTCACGTCCCGGGATTGAAGGTGAATCTACTCACCGTCACTCAACTCGCAAAGAAGGACGTGAAGGTCACCATCGATGGCGCGAAGATGAACCTCTTTTGGAAGGGGAAGCAATTCGCGCAAGGCGTTCTCAACGGACAACTCTACCAACTCAAGACGCATCCGACAACGGCCTCATCCAACGTGGCGCAAGGCTCCAAGGCGACTCTCAAGATGTGGCATAATCCGCTTGCGCACGCCAACTACGACTCGGTCAAGGAGTTGGCCAACAAAGAACTTGCGAAGGGATTTGACGTGATCGCCGGCAACGACGAGAAGGGCGTGTGCGCGGCGTGTGTCGAAGGAAAAATGGCTCGCAAGCCATTTGGTAGCCATACCTCACCCCTCGCTAAGGACCCGCTTGCGCTTGTTCACATGGACGTATGTGGACTGATGCGGCATGCATCAAAGGGAGGAGTGTGGTTCCTCTTAGTGATGCTCGACGACGCGACGCTGATGTGTTGGACCCGACTCTTGAAGGCTAAGGGAGATGCGGCCAAGGCGATTCAAGAGTGGGCGCTCGACGTTTGCGACGACGGCAAGAAGCGGATCAAGTGCATTCGTACCGACGGGGGCGGCGAATTCGTGAGCAACGAGCTTGAAAAATGGATGAAAAGCAAGGGCATTAAGCACGACGTCACGACACCCTACACACCCCAACAAAATGGAGCAGCAGAGCGGCTCAATCGCACATTGATGGAGGCCGTTCGTTCACTTCTTCAACACTCCAAGCTTGGGAACGAGTGGTGGGGAGAGGCGAGTGCGCTAGCGGCATGGATTCATAATCGTGTGCCAACAAAGGTGCTACCGGGAACGACTCCGTTCGAAGCATGGACCGGAACGAAGCCGAACCTATACCGCCTACGCACCTTTGGGTGCCTTTGCTACTACCATGTACCGGATCCACTTCGCCACAAGTTGCAACCGAAAGCTCGTGCGGCGATATACTTGGGAATTGCGGCGAACGAGCGTGCATGGCGAGTGTGGGATTTGGATTAAAAACGCGTCGTCACGTCTCGGGATGTGATTTTCGACGAAGACAAGTTCCCGACAAAGGAGAAACAAACGCCGCAACTCACCGTCGTCCTTCCCGCACGAGAGGAAGATGAAGCGGTGGAGGTTTCACCGCACGTGAAGAAGGGAGCCGAAAATGGAGGGGGAGAGAACGAGGAGTGCGATGATGATGTCGAGGAGGTGCCACCAACCGAGGAGGCCACTTCCTCCGCACCTTCTTCCCTACCATTGGCGTTGACTCGCGGGCGTCGTACACCTCGCCCCAACACGAGGTTAACCGACTATGCTACGGTCGCCGTTGAGGAGTCGGATGAGGAGAGTGCAGCGATTTGCCTAGCGACCTTCAGCGACGATAACCCACGCACTCACAAGGAGGCTTTGGTTTCCCCGGATGCACCGCTATGGAAGCAAGCAATGGAGAGGGAGTTAGCATCGATCAAGGAGAACGATGTTTTCGAGCTCGTCGACCCGCCGAAGGGTGCCTACTTGGTGGGATGCAAGTGGGTGCTTAGGAAGAAATTGGGAGCCGATGGAGGTGTCGAACGCTACAAGGCGCGGCTTGTGGCGCAAGGGTACACTCAACGGGAGGGCGAGCACTATAGTGAGACCTTCGCTCCCGTTTCGAAGGCCTCCACTCTTCGGGTGTTGCTCGCGCTAGCGGCATCTCTCAACCTCGAGGTGGAACAATTGGACGTTTACACCGCCTTCCTCTACGGGCTTCTCATGGAAGAAGTCTACATGCGGCAACCCCCGGGGTACGACGACGGTAGCGGTCGGGTGTGGAAGCTCAAGCGTACCCTCTATGGCTTGAAGCAAAGCCCACGCGGATGGTACAAGCGCATCGACGACTTTCTTCTTCAACACGGCTTCGCGCGTAGCGTGTGTGATAGCGCTTTGTACGTGTTGAAGGAGGGGGAGAAGCAATTGGTGCTTTTGCTCTACGTCGATGACCTCCTTCTTTTCTCCGACTCCAAAGACCTCATTCGAGAGGTCAAGCAATGGCTAGGGGCGGAGTTTGCCATGAGGGACTTGGGACCGGTGACGTACTACCTCGGGATGCACGTCGACCGCGACCGCGCGAACGGGACCATTCACCTCCACCAAGAGAAATATGTGAAAGGGGTTGTGGAGCGCTTCGGCATGGGTAATAGCAACCCGGTGGGGACGCCACTAGACACGGGATTTTCTTGCCTCCCGGGAGAGGAAGAATCCGCCCTCGACGAAGCCGAAGGGAAGCGGTTTCATTCGCTAGTCGGCTCACTCATGT